TTGATTTTTTTTCTGGCTGTTTTGGGTCTTCCTTGCTAGGAGGGTTTTTCCTCTAGTTTCCGGTAGCAGTAGCTCCTCTCTAGCTGCAGTGCTTGGGGTTTTCATTGTGGCAGAGCTCGAGTTCTAGAGCACAGGCTTGATAGTTGTGTTGCACAGGCTTAGTTGCCCTGTGGCATGTGGGATCTTCCCAGACTAGGGATTGAACTCATGTCTCCTGCATTGGCAAGTGGATTCTTTACCACTGGCCCACCAGAGAAGCCCAGAGACAGGGTCTTGACAGAGGTCATCAAGTTTAGGTGAGGGAATTAGGGGGAGCCCTAACCCATATGCCTGGTGTCCCTAACAAGAAGGGAAAATTTGGGCATGGATGTACACAGAAGGACAGAGGTCATGAGAGAATGCCAAGTGGAGGCGAAGTATTGGATCCATCATCTCCCAGCCAAGGATCACTGAGGCCACCCGAAGCTAGGAGAGAGGCACAGAAAAGATCCTGTCATGGTTGCCAGCACCTTGATCTTGAACTTCTAGCCTCCAGAATTGTGAGATGAAAATTTTCTGTTGTCTTAAGCCATGTAGTCTGTGGTACTTTGTATGGCAACCCCAGGAAACAAATTCTCTTACTAAGATCAAGGAGGTGGAGATGAGATGAGGACAGAGATGAATGGGAAAGTCAAGGCTGACGATGGGTAATGAGAGGATGCTGAGAGGAGCTCAACACTCCCCCGTGTGCACACGTGTATGCACATGTGTATGTGTGCTTTGACTGTGAAATCTGAGCTGTAGGCTCACCAAGCCTGCAGAACTTTCCTCTACAAGATCACAGGAGAGGTCAAGCAAGCGTTCAATCTGTTACATCTCCACCTAAACAGGTAGGAAGAGGTGTCTTCTCTGGGAGAACATTTAATTAAACCCCACCCCCTTTTTACTGCACCAGAGGATGTGAGAAGTGGGGAGCTGGTCTCCCAAGACCCCCATATCAGTGAACAGCAGCAGTGGGGTCGACATCAGCCACGCTGACACTAGGGGTTTATTTCTGGTTGGCATGGAAGAATTCACTCTTATGCTATTACAACTTACTTTACAAAATTACATTCTGGTTTGTTTATTTTTTAGGAAACTTTTGAATGAAATATAACAGACATACATGTCACAGATCCTAAGTGAACAGACATCGAAGTGTGTCTACATCTGTGTAAGCAGCATCTGGACAAAGACTGAGCCCATCACTGCACCCCGAGGCCCTCCTGCCCCTCGCAGTCACTCATACCAACAAAGGAACCACTATACCGACTTCTAACATCACAGATGGATTTGCCTGTTTCTGAGCTGATATGAATGGGATCCACAGTCCTTCTTTGTGTCTGCCTTCTTTCTCTGCACCTTATGTTTGTGAGATTTCTCTTCATTTTGCCTATGGAGCAGTTCATTCTCACTGCGAGAGAATAATCTGTGTTTATGGTCTTTTGAATCAAATCAAGAGGTGCACAGAGACAGAAGTGTCCTTACATAATTCAAGCTAGTCCTTTAAAAAAACAAAACAGTTAAAGCCACTCAATTGCTGAGACAACAGCAAAACAAGTTAATTAATCTTTGTAAATTAGATCCAATTTATTGGCCCTCTTTTAAAAACCACTTTCCCAGATCACTTTCAACCCACCCTTTCCTTTCCTGTTCCCCTGGATTCCCAAGCCCCAGTTATGTCACCCTGGGCTGACCTAGTCTGGACTTAGGGGAAGGGAGAGGGGGTTCACTTGCTTGGATTTCCCCGGGGTGAACCCATCTCGACCCCAGAGTAACTGGGAGCCTGGACTATCCCTCACTTGGCTAGTAGGGTTTCTGTGCCTTGAGCAGTGTCAGAGCCGCCTTCACCCAGAGTCGAGGAGGCTGCACCCCACATCTGAGATTTTGGAGTTCCTTGCCGCATCTGAATCAGAGATAAAGTCTTTAGAGCCCCAGTCCCTCCGAGGCAGGAGGGAGTCTGAGAAAGGGGGCGGGTCCTCTGCCGAGTCCCTCCCCTGGTACTGTGGCTGAGAGTCACTCCCACAGCTCGCTCTCGGCCTCCGGCCTTCCTTCCTAAGAGCTGCTTGGCTGGAAAGGGGCTGCACCCCGCCCCCATCTCACCCCCGCCCCGTCCCTCATCGCTTCACGCCAGACCACAATTGGCCAGATTCCTTTATGCTGACCAGCCTTTCTGGGGGCTTCCCTTTTGCTGGTTGCAATGACTTAATCCCAAAATGCAATTTTCTGGGAGCCCCGATGCCGGCCTGAGCCTGAGTCCATATATGGTCTTAATCCAACCCCTGGGCCGGGGCAGGGGTAGCACTGAGAGGCCCTCTCCCTCCCCACGCCGCGCCTGCCCACTCCAGTTTCCAGCGACGTCAGCCCTGCACCCAGAACAAAAGGTTAAGGCGGCCCCCCTCGCAAAACTTCTTTGTGCCTTTGGAAGGAGCAATCTAGTTGCTTCTTTTCAGGCTCCCCAGTTCCTGGGGGCGCTTTCCCTTCTGGAATGTGAGAAAACCGCGACCCGACTGGTACTTTTTCTTCAGTTCCTGCTCTGGCCGTGGGTGTGGGCAGGGAACATGAAGAGAGGACAGTTACTTGCTCAAGCCCAGTTGCCCTGGACTGTTTTGAACTGGAAGCAGTCCCAGGGCCCCACCCTGGCATGGGGCAGAGTTCAGTTTTCGCAGACCTTAGTTGGAGCCTTGGCTGTGCCTTGGTCTCCACCCTCAGCTAGTTTTTATTTGTTTGGCCTTCTGTCTGAGTGAGGGAACTAAGACATTGTCAGACAGGGGAAAGAATATTGAAGTCTAGTTACCAGCTCTATTCAAAGCTCATTAGTAGATGAGCATGTTCTTTTTATTAGCATTCTCACCACCATTCTAGAACCAATTAAAAGCAAAGCCTGGGACTAGACTCCAGCAATGGCGTGCTGGAGCTAGCTCAAACCAGGTGTGAACCTAATTGTTAAGTTCTCAGGAACTTTGCAAGCCTATGGTTAAACACAACAATTACTAAAGATTAATTTATATCCGGAGAAGGCAATGGCACCCCACTCCAGTACTCTTGCCTGGAAAATCCCATGGACGGAGGAGCCTGGTGGGCTGCAGTCCATGGGGTTCCTAAGAGTCGGACACGACTGAGCGACTTCACTTTCACTTTTCATTTTCACACATTGGAGGAGGAAATGGCAACCCACTCCAGTGTTCTTGCCTGGGGAATCCCAGGGACGGTGGAGCCTGGTGGGCTGCCGTCTATGGGGTCGCAGAGTCGGACACGACTGAAGTGACGCAGCAGCAGCAGCAATTTATATACAATTAAAATAGAAGCAAAAAAAAAAAAAAAGAAGCAACTGGATTTAAAACAAATTTTGAGAAATGATCAAAACTCATTCACTGCCTAAGGATTTTACTGCATTTGCTGTTATCCGTGTTCTTGAGATTGAAAAAAAAGTGAAACTGTCAGTTGCTCAGTCATGTCTGACTCTTTGTGACCCCATGGACTATAGAGCCCACCAGGCTCCTCCTCTGTCCATGGAATTCTCCAGGGAAGAATACTGGAGTGGGTATCTGTGTTCTTGAGATTATTCACATCTATTTATCTGTGGGCTTCTCTGGTGGTTCAGATAGTCAAGAATCTGCCTGCAATGCAGTGGATCTGGGTTGAATCCCTGAGTCAAGAAGATCCCCTGGAGAAGGGAGTGTTGGTGGAAACCTATAGTGCAAACGTCCTATGATGCTGTGCACCGTTCAGTCTTCCCAGTTCCTGGTTCAGTAAGGTCACACTGGGATGTTGAAATCAGTCATGATGGGGGTATTTACCCACTAGAAAACATTATAAATCAGAGCTCCAAGCCCCAACCCCCAAGGCAGTTGTTGACCTTGACTGTAACTCTGAGAGGCAATAAGAAATGACTCACTCCCTGCCCTCAGGGTGCTTATAAGATGTGGAAGGGGACAAGTCCCTCATGACTTGGGCTGTTCATAACTTGTCTTCTCTAAAATGCCAAATGAAGAGTGTCAGAGGACACAGGCATTGAAGTCGGAGAGACCCGCATCCGCATCCCAGTTCTGCCACATGCTGGCCACGTCCCCTTAAATAAGTTACCTGATGTTTCTGAATCATTTGCCAGGGAATAATAGCATCAAAATATGGTTGCAGGGATTTAATGGAGAAGATATGTGAGTGTAGAAAGAATATTTCCAATTGAGGGAACAGCCTGAAGGGACGGTGTAGAAGCATATGGAAGTGGAAGGACTATTCAGGGAATGGCCAGCAGTCTGGGATGTCTGGATATTATGATACACCAGAAGTATCAAGCTGGGCAGAGTGAGGGTAAGATGTGAATCTGAAAATACAGGATTAACAGGGAGGGAAAAGCTGAGATTTCCTGAAGCAGTGCTGAGGAGACTGAGCTGCTGTGAGGGCAACCAGCAGTCCAAGTCACCAGGTTTGAAGGATACAGCAGAACCTGCCTGCTCCGCTCCGCTCCAGGCGGCCCCAGACACGGGCTTCTCGAAGCAGCATCCGCGTCCCGCCCGGTGCAGCTGCCTCCCCAAACCCCTGGCTCCGGGGGGCAATGAGGGGGCGGTGGAAGGGGCACTGCTCCTCAGGCATTACTTAGAGAAGCGAGACCGCCCCGCCCTCCCAGCCGGCCCTCCCTCGCTCCCGCCCGGGCCTGAGCACCACTCAGCCAGAGGGGCTCTGTTTAATTCAGCACGGAGAAAAGCACCACACAGATGGTCAATATTTTGCGTAAAAGCTCAGTCACCACCCCATTCACAGTAGATGTGGAGTTTCAGAAGGATGTGCATTCCCAGTCTTGCCTGGACATGTGATTAATGCTATCTAGTTCAACAGTTGTGCCCCAGGACAGTCGGCCCAATATGTGAAGACCTCTGATCACTAGATCTCCTGCATCTCCACTGAACAATCAAGGCATTCCTACTCCAGAACAGCTCACAAAATCCAACGCACCCGTCCACATCGACGTGGGCGGCCACATGTACACCAGCAGCCTGGCCACCCTTACCAAATACCCCGAGTCAAGAATCGGAAGACTTTTTGATGGTACAGAGCACATTGTTTTGGACAGTCTCAAACAGCACTATTTCATTGACAGAGATGGACAGATGTTCAGATATATCTTGAATTTTCTACGAACATCAAAACTCCTCATTCCTGATGATTTCAAGGACTACACTTTGTTATATGAAGAGGCAAAATATTTTCAGCTTCAGCCCATGCTGTTGGAGATGGAAAGATGGAAGCAGGACAGAGAAAGTGGTCGCTTTTCAAGGCCCTGCGAGTGCCTCGTGGTGCGTGTGGCCCCAGACCTCGGAGAGAGGATCACACTCAGCAGAGACAAACCCTTGATAGAAGAAGTGTTCCCAGAGATCGGCGACGTGATGTGCAACTCCGTCAATGCGGGCTGGAATCACGACTCGACGCACATCATCAGGTTTCCACTGAATGGCTACTGTCACCTCAACTCAGTCCAGGTCCTCGAGAGGTTGCAGCAAAGAGGATTTGAAGTCGTGGGCTCCTGTGCGGGAGGCGTGGACTCATCTCAGTTCAGCGAATACGTCCTGCGGCGGGAACTGAGGAGGACGCCCCGTGGACCCTCTGTCATCCGGATAAAGCAAGAGCCTCTGGACATATTTCTTCTGCCAAAAGGAGAAAAACATACACCACAAATAACGCAAACACAAAAAGGGACATTTATGTGCAGTTGGGACAGCAAACCGAGTCCTGGACCTAAAGTTGAATAAAAGACACATTTATATCCAATAGAGACCACACCTGTATTCATATGGGAACAATTGGAATAGTGATATCCTCAAGGTGTAAAAAATATATAAATATATATATATATGTCAAAAGGTAGGAAACGCAAAAAAAAAAAGAAAAAAGGTGGTAGCTACAGTTGATGCTGTGATGGCCGTGAAGTGTCCTGGGCCTCCCAAGGCCTCTGACCAATAAACAAGCCATGAGCAATGAGGATGAATCTCCTTACGGTTTTCATTGCCAACAGCCATCCATTGTTTCTTTTTCCTTTGTCTTTCTTTTTCCTTTGAAAACAAAAACACCTAGAATCGCATTTCTTTGCATATGGAAGTTTCATGTCTCTCTGTAGATGGGGGACGGAGCAGAACTTCAAAAAAAACAAAAAACTCTCATGAGCACGCCGCATTTGAAAGATGCGAGACATGAAATTTTAAATGTAGTTTGTACAGAAGTCACACTTTTTTGTCCGCCTCACCGATGTGAACATTACTTTGTTTTTAAACTGATCAGTTTTGCAAAGGGGCCAGAATTATTCCTTGTTAGAGTTGCTCCAGTTTGAGTCTGCTGCTTTCCTACAATTTTTCAAATTTTATAATGTATTAAATACAATAAACTCTGTTTAAAAAATAAAAAATAAAAAAAAAGAAGGATACAGCAAGTTCAGGTGCAATTCAGACAATCCTTTCAACCAGGATGTACCGTATTTGTTGTTACTGTTCAGTCGCCAAGTCATGTCTGACTCTTCGAGACACCAAGGCCTACAGCACACCACGCTTCCCTGTCCTTCACTATCTAGAAATTGATGCTCAAATTTATGTCCACTGAGTCAGGGGTTATCTAACCATCTCATCCTCTGCCTCCCACTTCTCCTCCTTCCCTCCATCTTTCCCAGCATCAGGGTCTTTCCAGTGAGTCAGCTCTTTGCATCAGGTAGTCAAAGTATTGGAGCTTCAGCTTCAGCAACAGTCCTTCCAATGAATATTCAGGGTTGATTTCCTTTAGGATGGACTAGTTTGATCTCTTTGCAGTCCAAGGGACTCTCAAGTCTTCTCTAGCTCCACAGTTCAAAGGCATCAATTCTTTGGCACTCAGCCTTCTTTATGGTCAAACTCTCCCATCTGTACAGTCTGGCACACGGCATTGTGGACTACGGGCGATCTGTTCCTCTAAGACTAATCCCCAGCCATAAGCAGAAATAAAGGGTCCTCCTCCAGCCCTAAAGAGAGGGCCAGCAGGGGTAGGTTAATAGGCTACGTTGATTCAGTGGCTCAACATTGTCATCAAAAGGCCAAGCACTCTTTTCATTTTGATATTTCCACTACTGTTCTCCGTGTGTCAGCTTTTGTTCTTGGCGTTGATGCCAAGCATGGTATGATGGTTGCCGCAGCTCACAGCTCCTCAATTAAAGTAGGTAAGAGTGGGGCAAACCTCAAAATCATTATGCTGTGCTGTGCTTAATCACTCAGTCGTGTCCAACTCTTTTCCACCCCATGGACTGTAGCCTGCCAGGCTCCTCTGTCCATGAGATTCTCCAGGCAAGAATACTGGAGTGAGTTACCATTTTCTTCTCCAGGGAATCTTCCTGACCTAGGGATCGAAGCCAGGTCTCTTGCATTGCAGGCAGATTCTTTATTGTCTGAGGCACCAGGGAAGCTCAAGAATATTGGAGTGGGTAGCCTATCCCTTCTCCAGGGGATCTTCCTGACCCAGGAATCAAACCTGGGTCTCCTGCATTGCATGCAGATTCTTTACCAGCTGAGCTACCAGGGAAGCCCCAAAGTCATTGTATCAGGGAGCAAAATCTTTCTCCAAGCCCCAGCAGATTTTCTCTGTATGTCATCAGCCACAGTGGGTCACAAGCTATAGCAGGCAGACAATGGCCTCCAAAGATGATTATAGTCTTATTGCCTGGAGCCTGTGAATTTGTTACTTTAAATGACAACGGGGACTTTGTAGGTTAAAGGTAAGATTCTTGAGATGGAGAGGCTATCCTGGATCTCTAGGATGTTCAGCATAATCACATATGGGAATTCCCTGGTGGTCCAGTGGTTGGGACTTAGAACTTCCACTGCAGGGGGCATGGGTTCAGTCTCTTGTGGGGAAATAAGATCCCGAAAGCCATCTTGTGTGGCCAACACCCCCATCAAAAAAAAAAACCCCAAAACAACATAATCACATAAACCCAGTTGGGTGACAGAGATGGTAGTGTGGGGCAGGGGTTATATGTAAGAAAGAGGCCACTAGATACTAATAAAGGCCCCCAGCTGATAGCTAGCAACCTCAGTCTTTCAGCTGGAAGAAACTCAATTCTACCTATACCTAAAAGAGCAAGGGAACCAGTTCTTGCTCAGAGGCTACAGAAAAGAACTCAGCCCTGCAGGCTTGATTTTAGCCCAGTGAGATCTATACCCGACTTCTGACTTATACAGCCATAAGAAAATAAGTTTGTGTTGTTTTATGCTCATTTGTTATGGCAGCAATAGTAAACTAACACCCCTGCTCATCTCGTAAGCCAGTAAGGGCAAAAGAGACTGAGATAACTATCCCTGGTTTAGGGATAACTAGGGAAAACTAGGGATTTTCCCCTGGGACTGGGTGAAAAGCCAAGTTCCCTGTGGGTGCTGGCAACAGTCCATAAAATCAGGAAGAAGTACCACAGTGAGGGTAGGGATCGAGTAAGCTCCAGGACAGACATGCCAATGGTTTTCAGCTATCTTCTTCTTTTTAAAAATATTTATTTATTTATTTGGCTGCATCGAGTCTTATTTGCAGCATGTGGGTCTAGTTCCCAGGGATGGAACCCAAGCCCCTTGTATTGGAAACACAGAATCTTAGCCACTGGACCACCAGGGAAGTCCCTATCTTTTGTTTTGATGGATCCAGTCTCTAAACATTTTAAATATCATACAGGGTTGCAAGCAGAGGTCCATACAGGCTTCCAGAGATCACTCCTGTTACACCAGGACCCAGGTCTGATTGGGGGAGGTGGTCAGGAGGGAAGACTCAGAGAATGCGCAAGCAGCTTCCTAGTTCCTGGCCAAGCCTCCAGAGCTCTACTGTGGAAAACGCTACCCACCACACTCCATCAAACCTGAGAAGCCTTCAATTGGAAGTGACATCATGACTTCACGAAACAACAAAAGAAAAAATGCTGTCAGATAAACAGCAGCCTGCCATCAATTGCAGTGTTTAAATGAGTAAGGTGTTAGGGTGAGAAAAAGAGTGCATCTTAAAATCAGCCAAATAGAATGCTACGAATCTTCCACCAACAATCAGGTTAACTCTTAAGATGCTGCCAGCTCAATCAAAATTGGCAAGGGATGTATTCATGAGTTTCTAGGGACCAAGGTGGGAGGGCGAGCGGGTGCTTGAAGTGGCTCTCCTTGAAGCCAAGCCTAAGGATGCAGGCTTCCTTGAAGCCAAGCCTAAGGATGCGGGCTTCCTCCTGTGGGCAATGGGCAGTCACTGAGGGGTTCCTAGCAGGAAGGGGGCCCCCATTTTCCGAAACCAAATTTACAACTTTGTTTCAGATCAGAGCATGAAACACCACTCCTCTTCTCCTTGGAGAAGAAAATGGTAACCCACTCCACTATTCTTGCCTGGGGAATCCTATGGACAGAGGAGCTTGGAGGGCTACAGTTCATAGGGTCAAAAAAAGGGTCGGACACAACTTAGCGACTAAACAACAACAGCAAACCCTCTTTTCATCCACCCAAGGCTTTGGGGGCACAGAAGCACTAGCAGGGATTGCTCCAGAGGCCTGGTTTGGACAAAGGGAAACATGGTTGATGGAACCCTGAGGGGTCACCGACGATCACTTTTGCCACGCACTCCATCCCTTTGCCTGTGGTTGACCCCAGGTCCAGAAAGTTTGGAGATGTTTCTGACTGCCTTTATAATTGAGGGGGGAAAGTAACAGCATCACCACGTGGAAGGGCCCCAAGAAATCACCTCTTCCTCTTAATTTTTCCGATTAGAAAAGAGTGTAGCTGGCCTAAGGTCACCCACCTGGGGAGTGGCAGAACCAGTTTGGAATCTAAGTCTCCTCCTGCCCCCAGGGCACGTCCGGAGAGGCGAGGGTTGGGACAGGGGTGCCATCCCCAGGTGCACCCTGCTCTGCCTCCTACTGTCCTGGGGTCGTGGGCCAGTTACTTAGTATCTCTGGGCATCTACTTCCTGTAAATCGGGGCTACCAGCAGTACCTGCTGCTGAGGTTGCCGTGAGGATTATGTTAGAAGTTCGAGAGAGGGCAGAGACCGTTGGGTGCCAGCTGGTAATTGCTCCATCAAGAGCAATGGCTGTCTTTGTTATTCTTTCGTGTGATCTCAGGCCGCCTCCATCACCTTGCTCCTGCTATCAAACAGGAGGTCTGAACTTTGAGACTCTGGGACTGTGGCATCCATGGAATTTGCTCCCCTTGCTAATCTGGCAAAGTCAACAAACCCTTTCTGTTTAACCCGACAGGAGCCGCCTGGAGGGGTGCTGGGTCGCCAATTGGAAGAGTGGGCTGGGAGGTCCCAGGATGCTGGCTGGAGGGAGAGCTGGTGGCCCCAGTGGCGGGGAGGAGGACGGGTGCAGGAGCCAGCAGGCGCCGGGCGGGGCACTTGGCATGTGAGCGAAGTGTGGAAGGCCAGGAAGGGGGGCTGATTGGGCCTTCACGCTAGAACGGAAGGGGACTGGAGTCGATGAAAAGAAGCATTTTCTGTGGCGCTCAGGAAGGGCCTCTCACTGGGGATTTCCTACCCGGGGCCGCAGGCCTTGGCCGCCTTCCCAGGAAAAGGTGGTGCTGGCCGTGGGGAGCCCGCACACTGCGAGGCCGCAGTCTGCGGACAGAGGTGCCCACTCCCGCCTCGGCACTGCCGGGCTCCCTGAGCCTGCTTCAGCCTGGAACAAAACGCTCTTTGCTTGAACCGTCCATTTCAGACGTCTCCATGCAGGACAGGGACACCAAGGTCTGGGCGGAAGTGGAAGAGGGGACTGGAAA